CTTTAACAAATCCTATCGAAAACGAAGTCTTGCCATTTCATGCGCACGGGTTGTTTTCAACGTGATCCTGGATTATTGACAAAAGACATGAATAACAAATGAAGAGGTGGGTTGTGAGGCGAGAGGACGTTAAATCAACGGTGGCTAGACACCACCTTTAAGGCTAACTCAATCCGGGGTTTTGCCGCCGAGAATTAGGACACAGGCAATCACCAACGCGCGGCTTTCGATACAAAATTTCCAGTCTTCTACGAGTTACTTATAGGATTGTGTTATATCACTTATTGTTCACCATCCTAGCCAGCCAAATGCTTTCAAATATGCAATATTGCCTTTAGAATTCATAGCCGGAGGAGCGCTGAGGCATGATTCAAAGCTGCTTCTAGAACTTGTTTACCAGCATACTTATCAGTATAGGAATAGGGATGATCAGTGGCCTTAAATAACAAAAATCCATCAGCACTCAAATGAATGATAGTGTTGATAACCGTATCTCAAACATGGCAATATCATGGTGACTGCGTATCTATAAGTGGACTATAAAGAGCTTTCATCTGGCACAGACTAGAATATCCCGAATTTAGTTCTTCGCCCATCAGAAGATGGATACTTCAAGGAATGTTCTAGATCAAAACAATAAAGGCGACTAGAAGCCGAACGGACTGCCAATTCATGTTGAATAATGCCACCCAAAGGACACTTCTGATCACAAACCGCGAGAGCTAAACTAGGTGCAACGTATACAGTATCAGTTCCTATGGCTGATTACTAGCAAATCCTCTCCCGTAGCTGGATACCAACCAGAAAGAAACCCTAACGACTGAGCACTTTCAAACCATCTCGGAGACACTCGCAAATCTCGAACGCGACAATCCGAAACTTGCACTTCAAGAACCTCGATCCGTGGGGCTCTATCCACGTATCTGAGAATGCGTCTCTGGGCATCATACTTGCCTAGACACCTCGGTGGCGAGGATGTCGACGGAAATTTTTGATTTTCGAGGAAGAATAACATCGGCCGGATGGACCTCAGCTTCCTACTGATGAGCGAGGATTACGACTGCTGTCTCTTGGGCAGGCTTCAAAATCCTCTTGGAAACGACTGAATGTCGCGCTAATGGCTGTAACCAAGCTCGAAAAGTAGTCTAGGCACGTTGGTGGATGTTAAAAGCACCGAGTATGGTTGCGGGGGGGGGAATTTTGTCATGTATTTCTTTATAGTCATGTAGTTTTCTAATCAGAGAATAAGTTAGACTTGTACTCGGACGTAGTGCCAATTTTTTGAGAGAGTTTTGTTTGATTTTGAGAATGTTATACAAAGCAAATTGCGATTACATGACTACTAACGCCTTACGGCTGTCGTTTAGACCAACAGTGACACGTAATGTCAGAAATATTGTGTCGTATTCATTTATAGTTTTCCAAGAGGTTATTTACAAAAACGACGGATCCAGTGATGGCGTCGTGGGTCTCGTCGCTAGCGGGAACAGGGTAGAGTGACCACAGTACGGTCGAGGCTCTGTGCGCGGCCACAATGACAATCGGAAGGAGGCGGGCATCGCTGCCACAGTGGCTAGGGACATTATTTCCAGGATTTGTGCTCGCGCCCGGCGTAGATTCCCCATAGCCGTTTCAACACGAGGCAGGAAGAACAGATGCTCTCCCACCGTCTCGCCGGTTAACTAATGAAATCTTACAAGCCTAAGCTCCACCTAGTACAGATCTTTAAGGAGGAAGAATGCTGATATGTAAAGAAAAATGTCATCAGCTTGAGTGGCGAACGAAAGAGGATCTGGACCTGTCCACTTAAAGCACAAATAGCTATCGTTGTTGGGGTAGAAGAAGCATTCGACCGAGGCTGATCCTTAAGCCTCCTATACTCCAAAATAAAGTTCTTTCGGAAAGTCTAGCATAGTATCTTTATGCTCTTCGCAAAGACAAGGAGGTGGCGCCGGCATACAACAAGACTCGCGCCAAATTGTATGAAGGTCGAGATCAAAGTTGCTATCTAGTCTATTGTAAGCACAGGCATACGGTAAAATTAAGCCATACGAACCATCCTGGCCGGATTCATCCATCTCAGCCAAACGTTGTCCGGTCTGGTCGTGAGCGAAGTTGTAGGAGCGTTTGAACCAGCAATCAAGGGTTACGGGAGGTTTAAAATAATTCCGGAGGGCAGGGTCATTTGCAATGCGGGAGAGAGAACCAACAAGCCGGATGTTAGTCATTCAGAGAAAGAGAAACGGTTCGTGAACTCAATATTTGTGAAGCGTTGATCTTTCACCAGGATGAACGAAACCTCACCGTCGGTCGTATGGCCGTCTCAACGGGTCTCCCAGTTAAGATATTCCCAATTACGCCTATTGCGTTTATTGACATTATGTAGTCTATTCCATCTCCACTTGAATTGTCATGAGTTTAGCTTGATATCCGAAAAGCATGTTTAATTTGGGGGGCCAAGGTTAGGGCTACACTCGACGTAAATCATAAATGATAGATAGACCAGCTAGACTAGACTAGACTGTTAGGCTATTTCTCGTTAGAACGAGTCATCGCGCGGTCGGCCGGAGGGTAATATCCAAGGGGAGTGTTGGATACGTTAGTTTCTCGAAGTCTAAGCAGAACCGCATCAGTTGAACTATACTCCGTAGTCATCTTTTGAATACAATTAATTTGTCTGTTCTTCTATAGTATTAAAGAGATGTGGTTGCTTCGGAATCCACGGTAGGCATCGTAATCAGCGCACTGGGCTAGGTCCACGAATTTGCCCCCACTACCTGTTAATTTAGTTCTTAGCTTGGGATTGGTGGATGAACGATTCCAATTCCGAGGAAGAAACGATAAGCTTTTAGAGCAGTAGGCTGTTTGCTAGTGACATCTACTATAGCTGTTCTCTTTTTCTTGATTTTCTTCTTGACACTCTTTTTCTCAGTCTAATTTTGTAGGTGCAAAGATTGCTTTTTCCTCTGCCCCGCCCCATATTTTGAACCAGCCCATCATTCGTCACACAATGCAATGTTTACCAAAAACCAGTTTATCTGTAAACCAAAAGTACTGTATCACAACCATCACCAGTCGTGACAGGATCGCCTGGTTCGTGCATATAAGGGTTTCACAACAGAGACTTGATTGATCAGGTCTGTCCGAAAATTCAATGTAGTAGAGATTCCCTTAGACGTTCAAAAGGACATGCAAGATTTTCTATGTTGTGTATACCATGCGGGAGGCTGCTGTTATGCCGTAGTTCTGACGGCAGTAGAATAACCAACGTGAAATAACACAAAGGTTGTTATAACACGGGGTAATTAGGAAGATGGTTCTTATAGCCAGAATATATAGGCTTACGCAAGAATATAATAGTCGTATCTTAGCAAATTACGCGTTAAAACAGGGCTGTGCGCTTCATAATTGAACCGTCTATAAAGGCAGCTGCTACTATCAATAACTGGCAATTTCGATTCTCTATCTGCCAACACAACATTCAGACAACCAGCCGCTCTAGCTGCGATGAAAAATCAAGAGCACGTCGAACTAGATGAGATTAATGAATTCTTTATCTAATACCTCAGGTTTGCCTACCAGAGGGAGCAGCCTATATACGCCGAGTTCTATCGCATGTGCTCCATATTTGGATGGCATACACTGCCGAACGGCCAAATTCCAGTCGCACGTAGAAAGGCTTAGGAATCCTTTTGCATTGCCATCGTGCAAGCATTCAACTCACACTTCGGAGCAGATGCCAACAGCCTAGCATCATGGCAACGCATCTGTCACTATATAGAGTCCCAGAGAATATTCTCGAAGCTCGACAGGTATGATGGAAGTTTGATTGCTTGCTTATTCTTTACGATGCTCATTCAGCTAGGCAGTACTCTGCACACACGTCCCAGAGCGGTTCAATACGGAGGAAGATTTAAGAGACTATACAATCAGCGAGCGGAAATTTTTCCTTAAAGAAGAGGCTTATAAGGGTGGACTCCTTCGATTTCTTCTCAGAGAAATATTGCATAAATATAAAGGTGACCGTAAAAGAAACCACCGGTGAAATTCAAACGGGAAGATATGGCGTCAAAAATGACTGTATCCACGGTTTCCAGCGCTTCTGCCAGCGGGAAACGAAAGTAGGACCCGATACTTTCCTACGCTTTTGTGCTCGCGAGAGAGTAGTCTGAATGTGGTTTTTCTAAGGTAGCGTGGGGATGCTTTTAATAGTGTGGTGCATTAGGCTTAGTGGCGGAGGTGGGAAGCAAATCGGCCAGAGGACCAGCTTCTCGCAAGCTTTTCTTTTGGTATACCATCAAATGGAAAATCAAGGTAAAGCACACTATGAAATAGAAAATTCTGCAAGATATCCTGACGAATGACAACATGCACCATTATGTGAGAAGTTTGATTCCGATAGGCCATGAGATTGTCGGCGTGAATATCCAGAAATACGCACCCAGACACATCGTATCTCCGACATGGCCAAACGTCATCCTAGAAACAAGCATTCACGTTGAGACCGCGAACAATGCCGACCACACCTTCCCTTTTTACCAGCTCTAACATTGCTGATCCTTTGATTTATTTAAAAGGAACCGGGAAGAGGGCCAATAAGGCCTACTATAAGCCGACCACCGTTCTGGGTCTCGGTTCGCTGTCCAGTCCGTAGCTAACGGATCTCCATGTGAAGCTCGTCAAGGAAGTTTTGCGAGTCTTTGATTTCAGCAGCCTGCATTGCAACTTCACGAACGATGCCTTGGAGCATTTCGCTCTTCTCCTGAAGCACATCACCTCCCCGGTCCATTTTTTTGATCATTTTTGACGTTTATCTCTCTATGGCCGGCCAAAGTGCTGTAATTTGTTCCTGGTTGATATTCTCCGACATAGAGAGAGAACGCATTCTTGATCAAAGTCCGGTTTGTCAGTTCGCTATAGAGTCCGAAGGTTAAAAATGACATATAGTGTAAATTCCACCGCGTTGAAGGCAAGGTTCTTCCACTAGTCGAGCCGTTGATTCAGCAACTGCGCCTGAATCTCCCCAATAAACGGAAGCCATGACGGTCAAATTCGCGCACTCTTCCATCCACTGAGCGGTCAACAAATCTCTGAAAACCCTTTTCGAAACAATCGTATGCGCTTGCGCAGTCTGTCAAGTTCAAATAAACATAACTTTGAACTTCCTGCGTGGCAATAGCTGGGCTCACGTCAGAGGCGGGTAAAATACGTTGTAAAATATGTTAATGAGATACTAATCGAATCAGAAGAATTTCAAACACCTAAGGTGTTTTTGGCTAATTTGATATGAGTTTTCAGAGCATCGATGCTCATTTCGGCATCTCTTCTAGCTCGCATAGTAGCGTCGGACACAGTGATTGAGTTAGCCATTTTGAAAGATAGTGAAGCTCATCGAAAAACCGATGAACAGGGATCAGCTTGAGGTAAAAACAGATTACGTGAAGGTAAGGACGCTGTTTTTCTCGAGTGCGGAAGAAAAGGGATGTCCTCTAGGCGAGACAAACCTGAATTAGAAGGAAGTGGTCACTGGTTCGATAGGAGATTGGCTTTAGGCGACAGGCAAGAGCGAAGGAGGCAATGATAATTCAGTAGATGGATATAGAGACGGCTTGATGGGCTTCTTCCTCTCACGTATTGTTAACCACATAGGGAACTTGCTTGCAGATACTGAAAGCCATTTGAATGACGTTGGCTCCGCTGCTGGAGCCCACTACTGAAGAGAGATACCCAATGGCATCCCTGGGAACTAGACCCGAAGCACCTATGCTGCACTTGATGGGCCCGGGTGGTCGACACAATGGTAGTTCCACCTATCCTTTGCCCCTACGGCCCATATACTAGTTCCCGGGGCTCAGAAGCTCCTGGGAATCTGGGGCGCTCCTGGGGTACTCGACCAGTTGAGATGAATCGTGACGAGAACAGAGCAAATCACAAGCAAATTGACCCGTCTGTCTTCTTTTTTATCTAGTGCGAGTTAGATGGCTGCATGATGTCGGAAACAACAGCTTGTGCGGCAGAGACTATCTAGTAGGCACCCTTCCGTGTTGGGCGGGACCAGATGCGTGGTAAACGAGAAGAACTCTACCAAAATCGCATATTGGAGAAGCCATATAGAAGGCCTATCAATTGAGCTACATATTTTCCCCGGCCTTGGAGACAGGGACCAATATGGGTTCGAGAAATACTCAATCACAAGGCTGATTGATACAAAGCGATGAGCTTGCCTCGCACCCCTCAAATAGAGACAGCTAGCTGGTAAATTGGAGATGTGCATAGTTAGAGTACTACACACACACACACACACACAATTCATTAACGCCCGGCGGCTGAGCCGAGAGGGCAACTATCACTAATCTACCAATACATGCATGTTTGGGTATACGCCGTGTCTCCTTGGAGCCCATACAGTACTTCCTTCCGTATTTGATATCTTAGCTTCCACTCTCATAGTCGGTCCCTATAGGTTAGTATTGGTTAGTAGACTGGCTTGAAGGCGCTTCTCCAAGTGTTCAACATCCTATCCTCGGCAGTTGAAGCGCGTCTATCGTCTGCCACAAGGGCTTAGGGGTTAGTAAAAGAGAGGTATTCTATCAGTTCGTCGGCCCGTCTAGGTGGCCTCAAGTCGGCCCGTGGCGATGGCGAATCGTATTGACGCTCGCACTGCTTCCAAATTCGGCTTCCACTTTTGATCATCGGAGGGTGACTTCCCTCCCAAGAAGAAGGACATATTACTTCGGTGAGTGTGGGTACATTGTAGCATTTCCGTCCGGTGCGCGGTCCACTTCCGACATCGAAAGAGAAAGTGGTCTACCGTCTCTCTTGCTTGTCCACATGCACATTGATCTGTCTCGGCGGCATTGATTCGAAAGAGATATCCGTTAAGTCTTGCCATCCCCGTGCGGAGCTAGGACAGCACGCTTGCTTCTTTCCACGATAATCGGTCATATAGCTGTCGCGTGTGTTTTCCCGGAAGGGCTTTATCCACTCGTCTCGAATGTTTCCCGATGCTCTCGGGTAGCTTACTGCTAGGGATTGCTTAGGTACGCGCGATCTTTAGAGTCGTCGATTTCATTTTGGGGACCTGTCCTTGTAGGATGGCATCTTCTTTTGTGGCGGTTCTCGCCTGCTCTTTCGCTAGCCCTAGTAGTTTGTTATCTCCGCTAGTGGGGATCCACCGGACGCTAATCTGATTTCTATGCTTCTGCAGTCTTCTTATCAGCTTGTAGATTTGACAGACAAATTCCTAGCCCGACCGTGGTCGCGGATTCTTCAGCGTGAGAGCTGCCCCTTTATTACTCGTGATCAACGTGATCCTAAAGTCTTTTAATCCCACGAGTGTCTTAAGTGTATGCGCTATTGCCGCTAGCTCCGCGGAAAACGGATTGTGCTCTGTCCTCGCGCTTAACGTGACGGACAAGGTCTTCAGTCTCACTTTCCGATAGCGGGGTGGTTGTTTCTCGATCGCCACTCCAAATCCGACCAGCTCGTTCCGTGCCGAGCTGCTGAACGCGATCCGTATTGATCCGCCTAGTACAGTTGACCTATCTAAGACAGGCTCACCATCAGTCTGTACGCGTGCTTCCTATAGTGCTAGTGTGAACGGATTGATGGTTTCTAGCGATTCTATGTCGATGTTTTTCAGCGCGTCCGCTACTTGGTACAGTGGTGAGCGGTGGTATCTCCTAAATTTCCTAATCCGATCTGTGTTTCTGCGGAGAGGATTGGTCTCTGGTAGTGTGTGGAGGTCCGTCCATATCTTCACGGCTTGGCTCCAGAATCGGTGTCGTGCCGCGGCGATATAGGCCTCGGCCTCCGCTACGCTGGTCGCCACGGTGAGGAATGTGCCTATAATTACTTGCGCTCCTACCCTTTGCACCAGGTTGATCGGTCCTATGTTTTGATTCTTGAGGGCGTGTATCTAGACGTTCGAGGTATAGTCTACCACTAGAGCTACCGTCGATGAGAACAGCTGCCGCGTTGTCGCTAGAGAGAGACCTCGGAGACGTCGAAGCTCTATCGCTGCCTCTAGACCTTTAGACGCTACTCTTGTAATATGCTCCTTGTACTTTAGTCTCGTGTCTATTAGCACCCCTAGGATTTTGACCTTGCTTTTAGGCTCTACCGTCTGTCCTTTGATAGTGAACGGCTCTTGATCCACTTTACGAGCCTTGGGTACGAAGTGTATAATCGCTGTTTTGTCGGCTTCAAAAGTTACTCCGCTCCTCTTCTCCTAGTCGAGCGCTTCGTTAATGATGCTTGTGATGCCCTCTCGGTTACTGTGTACGGTTAGCCCGGTCACCCACGCGGTAAAGTCATCCACGAAGGTAATTGCTCCTCCCTGGCTGTCGATCTGCCTCTGCACGAGGTCGGCGTTGAAGAAGAGAAATAGGATTGGAGACAGGGGCGAGCCCTGAGGCAGTCCAGGCTGTGGCAGGTCCTGAGCCTCCGACAGTTGTCCATTGATCTGGATGGCCGCCGTTCGTCCCGAGCAGAACGCCTCAACCCACCGAAGCAGAACCTCCGGTATACCTCGCGCTTTCATCCTCTGGACCAGTCGTTCCTTACAGACCCCATTGTAGGCCCCCTTGACATCGAAGCTGATCAGGCTCAGCACCCGTCTTCCTCGCCACGCTGCGTAGATTTGCTCCTGCAGGAGTAGGAGTGCTTGCTCCGCGGACCGCTGCTTTCGGGCTCCGAAGTGGCTGGTCGGGAGCAGGCCGTGGGTCTCTACCGCGTGGGAGATTCTCTCTGCCACCACCGATTCCAGGATCTTGCCTAATGTGGCGAGCAGTGAGATCGGCCGCCATGCCTTGGCAATGGTGTAGTCTTCCTTGTTCGGTTTTCTCAGCGGGATGATCTTGGCGTGTCGCCACTGTTTCGGCAGCGTGCCTTCTTCCAGTGACGCCTGGAAGAGATCGAGAACCCGGTGTTTGACCGTGGGCCAGGTCATCTTCCACACTATTGCCGGCAGGCCATCCTCGCCTGGTGCCTTCCAGGACTTCGTTGCAAGCAACTGCCGTTCTACCTCTTCCATGGTGATGGCCGGCATATCCACTGGCGCTCTTTGTGGTCTAATCCCCTCATCATCAATGCTGTCCGGCAGCGGCGGGAAGAATTGAGTCAGTAGTTCTTCCGCCTGCTCCCCATGATCGGTGGTAACCGTTCCATCTGCTTTGACGAGCTGTGGTACCTTCCCGAAGGCTGCATCTTCCCCAGATTTGAGATACTTGGCAGCTTTCCAAATGTTGTCGTTGTCGGCCAGAAACTCATTCCAGTGTTTCTTCTTTTGTTTCCGAATCGCGTCATGATATTGTTTCGCCGCGCTTGCAGCCATGTCCTCCAGCTGTGGCACCTTTCGTCCTGCTCGTCGTTCCGAGCGGGCGTGGTTTCTCCAATGTGTGTATATCTGACGAAGTTGTGTCAGGTCCGCCGTCCACCACCGCTTTGCGTGCGGTGACGGTTTGGCCTTCGGCGTCAACGCACGAACCGCTTCCGACACCGCGCACATCAGCCGATCGGTCTTCTGCTGCACGGAACCTTCCACCGGAGTGGCAGTTAGCGTGCTCGCGATTCTGGCATTGATCTCTTTCCACGGTGCATTCTTGAGCAGCAGTCTGTCTGTCTGCGTTGGAGCTGTCCAAGGCACATCAAAAATGGTCTCAATGGTAACATGATCTGAGCCGTGCCCCGTTCCGTGGACCGCACATTTGATCATCGAGTCCGTCAAGTTTTCCGAGGCGAGAACGAGGTCGATCGTCGACTCGCAGTCTCCCGAATAGGGTCGAGGTACAGTACTTCCCGAAACTGGTGTCACCACTTACACTCTTCAATTGTTTTTCGAACCCTAATGCCAAGATATACTATGCCCTGTTAGGGGTAGACTCGGAATATTAATATTCCTGTAGGATGATGCATACAGTTTGTTACTCCAAAGATACCTAAATTCATGTATCGTCACTGTATAGAGGTGCTGGAACTTTCCATATGGACGCAAAAAAAGCCAACATGAGGAGCAAGAGTTGGCCCTTCTATTTCACCTTGGCCCTCCGGGGGTCTCCAGTGTATCGTCGGCTACTCTCACGATATACGCAAACCATTTGGTCATTATTGGCCGGGATTGTGGGCCAAGTTTGTAGAAAGGTCGAAGACAGGTACATGTAATAGTCTTTCGAGTGTGTGGCTTTAGATCTCTATCACCCAGGCCACTCGGAGATTTCCAGGAGGGCTAAACTGGAGTTTGACTTGATGATGGATGATCGATGCAAGGGAGCGGAATCTGTTCCAACTTTAGCCACAGCTGAGTCTTGTCGCGGATGACGATGATTCAAATTGCGCAAGGGATAAGTGTTGCTGCTAGCATGTTGGGCTCAAAGTTACAACTTCAATGTCTATGTGGGCTCAATCCACTGAGTGGGACATGGTACATAGTCTTACTACCTGTGCATTATTCCCACTGCAAGGATCGAGGATGGGATGAAATTCCATGAGCCTCGAAATTCCACTCTAATTCTTGCATCCGTCGAATATCAAATTTTTGCCTGAATTGACCCTGGTTCATCATCATTCAAGCTTCCATGGACTTCAGTCCTTCCCACTGCGACTTGGCAGTTTCGAAAAGTGCATCATCGGTTAACATATCCCATCCCACCATAGCCAGGCCTTTACTAGTGAGGACGGCCTCGAAGTGTGCTTCATCCGTTCCAGCGGAGGCAGTGAAGGTCGGGTGGTGAGGAAAGCTGCCCTCTGGACACGGAATGGCAAACATCGAATGAAGTGTTGGTACGGCGTAGCTTACATTTCCAACGTCAGAAGATCCGGTCAAGACCTTGTCGTGCCTGGGAACAATCTTTCTTCCATAAGAACCCATGTGACCGCTGAAACGCTCACACAAGGTCTCATTCAGAACAATATCGGTGTAAAGTCCCTCCCTGGGTTCTGTTAGTCATTTGAGTCATTTGGTGTGTACGCGCCACTCACTCGACAATATTAGTAGTGCAGCCAGTGATAACAGCAGCTCCCTCGATACAGGCCCGGACTCTGGCGATCAAACTGTTCAATCCAGTCAAAGTCGGGCTTCGGATCTGCCAGTAAGACTTGGTATAGGCCGGGATGACATTGGCGACCTTGGGCACATCCAGGAAGGCGCCGTGGATGCGCTCATCAGGCAGGATCTGTTGTCTCATGGTGGATATTCCGTTGTATGCCTGAACCAACGCATCCAAAGCATTCACACCATCCCACGGGTTACCACCTGCGTGGGCATTCTTGCCGAAAAACTCCACATGCAGCTCCTTGCGGGCATTCATCATAATACCAGCCGCTCCATCGCAGGGGGATCCAACCAGGGCCTTGCCACTAGGTCCACCGTGACTAGCGACAATTAGTGAAAGCAAAGCTGAGAAGACACGATCACACTCACGCCATCAAGGATATATCAACCTCTTTGTAAGCTCCAGCGTTAAGCAGTTTTTCCTTTCCGCCACCATTCTCCTCTGCAGGGGTACCAAGGAGTTGAATCCTGCCACCAGTTCCAAACTTCTTCTGCAGATGGGCAAGCGCCAAAAAGGCCGCGACACTGCTAGTGGCAATAAGGTTATGTCCACAGGCGTGACCAATATCGGGCAAAGCATCATATTCGGCATTGAAGTTGATCAGTCGGCCTTCAGTTCCGCTGATACATTCGAAGGAAGTATCCACGCCATAGGCGTGTCTGGTGACTGTGAAACCATGGCTCTCAAGGAAATCACAGATGGCATCGTGTGCCTTATGTTCTTCATAGGCCAATTCAGGGTTAGACCAGATCTATAATGGGTTAGCATGACACACGGACCAATATGAACTTAGGGCATACAAATTGGTTTAATTCACGAAGCTGCATGGAATATTTCTCAAGAGCTTCATCGATAGCAGCTTGAGCCTCCTTAGTAGAAACGGAGAAGGGAATGACAGCCATTTTATCGTCTGCGGTATTTTGAAAGAGTCGAATTGATTTTGTTGGACTTCCGGATGACTCGGATGATAATCCTAACCGATTTTCTGATCTCTACAAAAGCGAAGTAGATCCTTTTATGTTCCTAGGTTTCCATCTTTTTTTGCTTGATATCAACTGGAATCCCACAGATGCATGATATTAACAGACATAAAAGGGCATGAAATTGCATAAAATTGCATAAAGTAATACCCCAGATATCATAACTCAAGTAATGTAGGCCTAACCGATGTAAATTCCAATCGCGAAGACATCGGCTTAGTCTTATCGTGACTAGCCCCAGGCCTGGAGATAAGCGAATTCATTACTCCGTAATCCGGGGAAGATTAGACTTCAATTGCCAAATTGTTGGCTAAACCTGACCAATCAGAGAATTCGAATTGCCGACTAGATAAAATGATTCTTTTGGATTTGCCGACCTTGTGGTTTTTTCATAGTTTCCATATGGTGGCTGAGGCCACTCGTCTCTTATTCGCATCTTTTTGCCCGCGGGAAAGCACGCCTTGCTGATAGGGAATGTTTTACATAGTAAAGTATTAAGATATGTCATTCATCTTAATCTTATCGCTAGTTGACTATCTTCTATACCTTGACCTAGCTTCACGACAATCATCTTAGATTGGTAGATATCACGTAAACCATACCTCGAAATGAAAGCCCTGGAGATTATAATACCGAGGAAGGAATTTAGTAAACCCGGGGATATATAGGGCTTAGGATCCTTTCCTTAGAGACTGATTTTAAGCATATTGATTAATACACTATTTACATTTATCATGGCCAATCATAATATACAAGAGAAGACAGACTATATCGACAAGGAGATGCAAGACTCCAGTGTTGGAGAAGTTATGGAGTTTCAAGCAGCACCTGAAAAGGAACGTCAACTATTATGGAAGTTGGATTTATTGTAAGGCAATCCGTGGATGACAACAATGCTGCGTACGTACTTCCAATGCTAATGGAACTAGCATGATTCCAACTATGGGAATCTGTTACATGCTTCAGTACATGGATAAACTCGCCCTGAGTCAAGCTACTCTCCTCGGGCTTCGATCAGACTTGGTAAGCCCTATCCAAGTGAATTTATTAATCTTGTTCTAACAGTCACAGGGACTTGTTGGCCAACAATACACATGGTGCTCGGCGGTTTTCTATTTCGGATATCTGGCCTGGAGCTGGCCAACTTCTTACTTGATTGTGCGTCTTCCCCTGGGGAAATACCTCGCCATATCAGTGTATGTTCCTATCCACCACCCTTTTCACAATCCCCCTAACAGTCACCCAGGTTTCTTTGGGGTGGAATTCTCATGTGCCATGCAGCCGCACAGAACTATGGTGGTCTCATAACCTGTCGATTCCTCCTGGGAATGGGTGAGGCGGCTGTCGCTCCCGGATTTGGTCTCATCACAGGAATGTTCTACAAGAGAGGAGAGCAACCCGCTCGGTACATGAACATGGCAACTGAATTATAATCAGCAGACTAACTCTTCTTTAGCCAAGGTGCATGGTTCGTCGGTAACTGTATTGCTAACCTCATCGGCGGTGTGATCGCATGGGGCATTGGCAACTGTTCTTCATCACTGGAAAGCTGGCGTCTGCTATTTCTCGTCCTCGGTGCAATCACTTCCGGTTATTCCATCTTCCTCTTCTTTGTCCTCCCCGACTCGCCCGCAACAGCATCCTTCCTCACCGAGACCGAACGAATGATTGCAGTGCAACGGACCATGAGAGACAAGACAGGCACTGCTGAGGCCACAGAGGTTTTCGAATGGAAGCAAGTCCGGGAGGCTGCTTGTGACCCGCAGGCATGGTTCCTGGTGCTCTACACATTCTGTGTCAACCTCGCCAACGGCGGACTTACAAGCGTACGTGCGCTTAGCCCCTCGCTTCTGAAAATTGCTAAAATCAATGCAGTTCTCCGCTATCATCATTGCTGGTTTCGGGTACTCCGACTTCAAGTCTCTCTTGCTTCAAATGCCCATGGGTGCCTCCCAGCTAGTTTTTCTGATCATCACTGCGGCAATTGCCACATACGTCCGATCATCGCGTCTCATATGCATGAGCTTCAATGCGATCGTTGCAATCATTGGTGTCGTTCTGATCTACACACTCGACGACTCCCACAGAGTGGTCAAGTTACTTGGTCTGGCCTTCGTTGCTGCCTTCGCCGTCAACATTCCTCTCAGTCTGAGTATTGTCACTTCTAACGTTGCCGGTGCGACAAAGAGAAGCGCTGTTTCAGTTTCCATCTTTGCCGCATACTGTGTTGGTAATATCGTAGGGCCCCAATTCTTCTATGCCTCGCAAGAGCCGACATACTCCAGCGGTATTGAGGCCTCTCTTTGTGGATTGGGAATCGGAATCTTCTTCTTGGCATTGCTATATGTGTACTATATGTGGGAAAACAGAAGGCGGAACTTGGTTGAGGGATCATCCGTGGTTGAGGTTATCGCCGAAGAGGAGAAGCACAGGACTGACAAGCAGATTCTTGGTTTCCGTTATACTCTATGATTTTATTATTGCAGTTTGTGTTCCGATTATAGAGGAGTGAGATTTTAGAATTAGATTTACGTTCCATTGTGTTCCCACAGCTATCACTAAAGAGTGGAATTGTATGTAGTCTTATTACCTGTGCAGTCTTCCAAGTGAGACAGGAAGTGCAGTATTCTATCTATGCCCTGCCAACCCTTCAAGACCCAGCCGAAGCCACGACCGTTGCGGCTAGGAGCGCCAATGGGGCATTTTCGTGGTTGGCTTGGCCTACAGACGGAGGAAACAGCATCATCCCTGGGCCGATGAAAACGGTTTGGGATGATAGGTCTTTCCATTTTCTTGCGGGGAAAACATACATGGCTCGTAGTAAATCAACGCAATCCTCCGAACCCATCACGAGCTAACTTGGAAGTAGCCGTTTCGCCTTGGTTCTCTACCCACTTCAACACCAAAAACTGGGTCTTCATTTGCGGAAATTTGCCAACATTGCGCTAGGAACAAATGCTTTCTCTTCAGCCAGACCTAATTGAGATAATCTCGTGGAATAGTGAGTTGATATCATCTTCCTTTCTCCTGGAACCCCCAAAGAACGCCAATTCTCAAGATCTGGCCGTACCACGGGACGACAGTCTTGAAAGCGGGGGTATCGAGGTGTCAGCTCTATTAACGTTACAAGTGAATACACCCGCCGTATGTACTTCCAAATACCTCCTATTACACCTATTACCCTCCAGCGAATTGGTCCCGACCGAAGGAAATCATACATTCTTTATAACGAAATGACCAAAGCAGAGTTTATTGAATGGTGGCGACAAACTATACATGGTGGCCAAGAAGATATCCAGAAGAAGATCCGGTGGGATGCGAAGCATATATCAGAGGGCTGGAAGCAGTTTGATCAGGTAGCGCATTATACTACCGGAGAGCCACTGATTCTATGCCGCCTTTGCGGAATCATACTCCCTCACCCTATGTCTAAGCCAAATGGCACTAATACTATCAACCGCCATCCAAACTCCGCAAAATGTCGTAAGAGCGTACGGCATAGCTCAGGGCAGCGATTTTTACAGCAGTCTTTTCAGACAGCAAAGGTATTTATAAATAATCATCCTTATTTCGATAGCTAATCTCCTTATTATCAATTCAAATAGGATATCCACCAGCCTCGAGTACCGGTGTTCGAACAAGAGCGATGGGAGAGAGCGCAGATCGACCTTATCACAGCGCTTAATCTCCCCTTTGAATGCCTAAATCGTAAACAATTTTCTACATTAGTGGAAATGGCCCAGCAAGCTCCGGTAAAACCTATATTGCTTCATCCTCGAACTGCACCTCGTCGACTTGAAAAACTAGTCCGTGAAGATCATAAAAGCATTCTTTCTACACTCCCGTTAAATGCTAAGCTCTCAATTGCACTTGACTACTGGACTTCTCCCTTTCAGCAAGCATTTCTGGCAATCACTGGCTATTTCATTGACCAAGACTGGAATTACCGCGAGCTCCTTCTTGCATTCGAGCCTCTCTATACATCACATACTAGTTTAAATATGAGTATTGTTGTTATAGATGTTCTTCAGAGATATGAAATCGCCGACCGGGTAATTGCAATTACCTCCGATAACGCATCAAACAACACAACTATGGTGGAAAAGCTACAAGAATCTATCGATTCTTTAAGCTTACCTAGTAGCCTAACCGTTGTTCGGATTCCTTGCCTTGCTCATGTTATTCAATTAAGTCTACGCGAGCTACTTGGGACAATGAAAGCCGAGCCCCAAAACGACACTGCAGACAAAGCTGTTAATCGAGTACAAGTCTCAGCTCGTGATCTTCGCGCTACCGACAAAGAGCGTGGAATCCTCCAAACTTTGGTTAAGGTACGCTTTTCCTCTCTGTTGATTTACATAATTCACTAAGGAATACTATAGGTACGTGGTCTTGCTATTTTCATTAATGCAAGTCCACAGCGACGTGCGGCATTTATTGAACCACAAACCCAAGAACCAAAGCTCGTCCCTATCTAGGATGTACGGACCCGCTAGAATTCAACATTTCTAATGCTCCGCCGCGCAAAACGTCTCCGTACTTCATTTGAGAAAAACTGCGCGCTAGACGAGCATGCTCGGTTCCGACTTACTATCTCTGAATGGCGCCAAATCGACTATCTTCTGTATATTACAGAGCCTTTTTACCGGTTTACTACCGGTCTTTCGCAGACAAAGGATATCACCGTACACAATGTCTTTAGAGTATACAATACGTTGTTTGATCACTTTGAAAAATCAATTAAACGGCTTGAACTAAAGACAATTCATGGAAAGTGGCAATGCTCGACGCACTAAAGGCTGGTATGGCGAAACTCTCTAGATATTACGAACAAACCACAGAGATACATGGCAGCCTTTATGGCATTAGGACTATCCTCGCTCCCCAGTATAAGCTGAATTTCTTTTCAAGCAAAAGCTAGGGGGATAGCGATGATATTGACTGGCCATTATACTATAAAGAAGCACTACATACCTTTATGAAGCCCTATTCTCTCCGTGTATTACAGACACAGCCACTACAAGTGGAGAGGGTATAAAGGCCTTATATCGGTGGCACTGCTAGTGACATGGAAGATCTATTTAATAGTGGGCCGCAACCTCAAGTGTCATCAGATTCGGATTCGGACTTAATAGACTACCTTGATAAGCGTATGTTCTATTCTTTATCTTATCGTATATTTATACTAACCTATCAATAGCAAGAAAGAAAGTCCACCCCCTTCTTTTCTGGAAAGAACATGAGCACGAGTTCCCTATCCTTACAGCCGTTGCACGGGATATTCTTTCTATCCGTGCGACCGGTGCTGGTGTTGAGCGCCTTTTCAATACTGCGCGGGATGTCTGCCACTATCGCCGTGGCTTATTAAATTCAACAACTATCCAAGACATTATGATGTTCCGGTATAATAGTCGGTTTGACGTTGAGATCGAAGAGTATAAAGAAGTCCTTCTTTCCCTCGAGGCCGTACGGGCTGCAGATAAGCAATCGGAAGCCCACCTTTCTCTAGTTGATCATATATCTATTAGCGATAGCGAAGATATGAGCGATGAGGATGAAGACGAAGACAATGATGTTCTGCTGGTTATTCAAGATGAGTTCACCAGTACAAGCCAACGCGAGGATCGCTATAGAAGCCAGCTAGATGTCCAGGAAGATAATACGCAAGCATCTCAAAAGCGACAATCAAGTATGCTAGCTGAAAGCGACGATGATGATAACCACCCCCTTCCAGATAATAGTGGTACTCAACGACGGGCTGGATTAAGAGATGCACGGAAGCGCTGTAAAACCAATGACCCCTAATATACATATTATAAATAGAATAAAGACAGGCGAAATAAATATAATTCTAAATATTTAATACTCAATCTATACTATAATTATAAGAGAAACAAGTAAATGTAATACTAAAAAATATAGGAGAAATCTACATAACTTATACAAGTCACGAGTTTCTAGATTTCTACTTACTAAAATTTCCCATAGGATCCCATCATGGGAAAGCGGGTTCCCATCCAACATCATTTCCCGCCCATAGGAAATTATTTTTGTCCATTTCCCACTTACATAATGTCCATGGACATTTCCCATAGCGGGTCCCATGGGAAATGTCGAGGTCTATAGATAAGCTTAATTATATGGACTCGAGAATTCCTTAGTTGCTATAGCGATATATGGAATTGATAAGATGAGGTTAAAATCACATGACCTGATTCCTAAAACTCCCGAGTCTCAGCTGGTTATATAAGCACGGGACTACGTAACGTGAAGTCCGGTTGCGCGGGCGACCCGGTTGCGCGAGCGACCCCACCAAAAATACACTTCAATAACGATGCATCCTCTTTGACCACGAAAACAATGCCCCCCCAACGCTCTAATAAGAAAAGAAAGCTAATAGAGCAGGAGGGTCGCCTTTTATTAGCTATACAAGCTATTAAAAATGGCAAGTATTCCTCTGCTGCCGCTGCTGCACGATCTTTTGAGATACCTGTCTCAACTTTGAAGGCCCGGATCAATGGGCGCGAATCTGCTACTGAAAAGCGACACAATCGCTTTATTTTTACCGAAATTGAGGAGGGCTCGATTGAAAAATGGCTACTAGATATGGATTCCAAAGGGGCAGCCCTTACTTTGCCTATGTTGCGAGATATGGCCAATCTTCTGCTTTATGCCCGAAAAACTACACCCTCTACTGTGGGTAATCATTGGCCTGCTGAATTTATCAAACGACGCCCAAATCTCTCTACTCGCCTCTCTCGCAAATACGATTATCAGAGAGCTCTTTCAGAAGACCCTCGAATTATTGAACCATGGTTTGATTTGGTTCAAAGGACGATTGAAAAGTGGGGTATCGCTTTAGACGATATCTTCAACTTTGATAAGTCTGGTTTTGCCATGGGTATTAGCGCAACACAAAAGATTATTACTTCAGCGGAATACCATGGAAAAAGAGCTCTTTTACAAGCCGGCAATCGTGAGTGGGTGACTTCGATTGAGTGCATTAGAGCTTCTGGAAGTGTTCTCCCGCCGCTCTTTGTCTTCAAAGGAAAACAGTTCCCAGAGCATTTACGACCGTATCTTCTTTCAAATCAAAAAGGAGCTCGTCTAACCATGAGCTTAAATGGTTGGACTACTAATACAATTGGTTTATAGTGGTTAAAACATCATTTTATCCCAAATATTGGGACAAGAGTGGGAAAATATTGCTTACTAGTCCTTGATGGTCATAGAAGTCATTTAACCCCTGAATTTGACCAAGTCTGTGAAGAAAACCAAATCATCGCAATCTGTATGCCTCCGCATGCTTCTTATCTTTTACAGCCTTTGGACGTGGGTTGTTTCTCGGTTTTGAAGAGGCTTTACGGAGGAGCGGTCTCAACTTTAATGCGAAACGGAGTTAACTCTATTGACAAGGAAGATTTCCTTGAACTGATCGCAGATGCGAGAATGGGTGCTTTTAAGACTATCACTGTACAGAATAGCTTTTTGGCTACTGGATTAGCACCATTTAATGCTAATAAAGTCATGGAAAAGCTAAATGTGCACCTGGATTCCCTTCCTCCTCTGGAGATCCTTTCTCAGCGACCAGTCTCTTCCGGTAGCGATAGCGATCCAAATACTCTTTGGACCCTTTCAAAGTTTACAAAATCGCAATCTCTGATCAAAAAAGGTCTACAATCTTCTTCTTTAATTCTTTCTTCACCAACAAAAAGGGAGATTAATAAGACTTACGAGATGACTATAAAAGTGGTCCACCACCACATTTTTCTCCAGAATCGCTGTACTCAATTGGAGGCTACTAACAAGAAACAGACCAAAAAGCGAGGGATCAAACATAAGTTTAGTACCCAGAAAGGCATCTTTGGGGGTCTAGAGGGTGGTGAGGATGATGTGGTTGTTGTGGATGAAGATAGAAGCAAAGATATATCTTTACCAGCGGTGCCTGCAAAACCGGTTACGGAACCTATCCTACCTTCTATGCCCTTGGTTCGGCGGCAGGTGACATGTTCTGGCTGTGGAATAAAAGGTCATACATATTCTAAATGCCCTACACGTGTTCAATAGCCAAACTTATCTTTTTTTGTGGTTTTAATAGTGGTTATAAATTGAAGGTTTTTCAAGGTTTGGTGGGGTCGCTCGCGCAACCGGGTCGCCCGCGCAACCGGACTTCACGTTAACGTGGTGCGCAGGGCCAAAAAGCGTGGTGCGCGGATCACTACCCCTAAGTTAGTCAACTTACTGGAAGCTTACGTCATAATTACGTTGACCACTACTTAAATATGGTTTTCGGTGTAGACTTGAATATTCTTGTACTATATGCTTCAAACTGCATACGAATTTACCACCATGCCACCTATTATACATATGGACAAGCCAGACCTGAGGGGGCGAATCGATGAGTACGACACTCATTCTATCAAAGGACGTCAAAATTCGGAAAAAGCTCGTCAAAATGGCACACATCCTGATGAGAAGAACAGTGCGATCATTCTACGAACTCTTTCAGGGCTTTCATGTACTGATGAGATCTATAAAGAAGGGACTGCGAAGCTACTACCTGAGTGCAGGGAGAATAATAAGGAAACCAGGACCATACCAGAAAATTTTACCCAGAAACCATCGCAATAGCATATGTCCGTTGCCCGCCATAATAATTTTTCACATTATACTGAACGAGAAGCATGAAGAGAAGAGCAGAATCAGTGAGTTGTTCAGACAAGAAAAGCATCAATTTCACTAATGATTGATTCGGTTTCGAATGATAGGAGACCCGCCATATTTAAAGTTCATTGTTCGGGAAGCTTGGATCAATCTTAATTGATCAAATCATCATGTATCTACATAGTCGTTATTTTATGTATTTTTTCTCCAAGAGTCAGGGTAACTGAATTGTGCTACTACTACTATTGTATATTTCAAAAACTATTGTTGTTAAATTGCCCTAATTTCAAATTCAGATATCGTAATCCTCATTTCAATTTCCATAGCATTTCAGACTCCAATCTTCCGCTGAGCAGCAACATCCAACTTGAAACCGGGATCCAACTTATTCGCAGTACCTGAATCATGATGACCAGCCGTAACAGGGTCCCCAGAAATTCGCGCAGCAGTTGCAGTAGGAGCATTGTAACTAACACCCGCAAGACCCTACTCAATTTCCGTCCCAAGTGTGAGAACTATGAGTGGTAGTTCTAGCCTTAGTACTAGAAAGGGACTGGTGGGTAGCGCAGGAATCATGATTCGAGTCAACGCGCGGATCAAGCTTGTTGGCAATGTTGAAGTTATGGGGACCAGCATTGGTGCTGGTGGTATAGTAAGTAGATCCAAGGCCAACACCGCCAGGGACAGTCCCATGGCTTGCATGGTGATCACGGTCAGAGTCCACGCGGGGATCAGCCTTGTTGGCGATGTTTGATGAGTGGGGTCCGTGGTTGGAGGACTGAGTCGACTCGTGCGGCTCGTCTTTGTTCTTAGTTACGGCCTCTTCGGCCTTGCGTACAAATTGCATGGTGAAGGTTTGGGGTTAAGGTTGGGGGAGGAGAGAAGTTGTGGAGGGGAAGAAGAGGATGTTTATAACTTGTTTGTAACATATGGCCTTCCGTCTGGTTGTACCAAACTCCTTTGATGTACAATGTACAACATTAGGTATAAGTTTAAGATGATGGCCTGTCACTGGCACATCAAGTATTTATCTTAACCACTTGAATCAGGGTTCTGTCAGATATACTAGAACAGTAACAGACTGAAGCATGGCTTTATCCCTGTGAATTAAAATACGCCACTACGTCATGATGCCAAGTTTTCGGTTATTCAACTATTGTACTTTGCAATGAGATCATAGTGCTAATGTACATCTGACAGGTTGGACAATGAAGATCATCGTATAAGAACACATAATATATACTTGTAACCTCGATGTCCACTTTCGGATATGCTGATAAGTGGACTGGTATGCTCTCCAGCCAATCACACCCAATTATTCTAATTCTGTTACCACTGAAATGCATTGATTTGCACGTTTAGTGTTAGTTTCCAACTAAGCTAATAGTATCTTACTAAGACTAACTTCTCTAGCTTTTTAATATTAGGATTCCCAATTCAATATTTGTCCCAGCCAATATGGTTCTCTCCACAATCTAATGTGTTGTTACACACTTTACATGATCTACCCGATTTCCCCTTTTGCTTTTTTTGATTCTTATTCTAAATGGAATGAAGAACATACACATTTATATCTTCTCTACAGATTGCGATTGACAAAGCTGGACCTCATTTGCCCAGAGGAAGCTTGGGTGAACTCCAGTGGACCGGAGATGCTGCCGTTCCCTAATTAATTGACAAATCAGACGTTGGTATGCGGCTGGAAAACCGGTCCATATCAGATTATCCTGATTCCGCTGGGAGTTTATGACGTCATGAATTTGACACAATTTAGCCAGTGAACTGCGTTTTCAACAGTTCAATATTCTTCCACTATTCACTGATCCGCGCAACTATGGTCACATTTATAGGAACAAAAGTCATGGGCACAGCCTTTGAAACCACAGATAGATATTCGGGGTTTGAAGTAAAAGTCTGTGGCAGCGCTGGAACGATTTGGTATATTACTCATAATATATCCGTCCTCCCCAATTTATTATTGACAAACGAATAGTTCAGCGCATGATTCGATAGCCAATTCAAAGGTCGCTATAAAAAAAATCCCGAGACCATTCAATTCTACAGCTCTGGCTAAGCGTACGTATCGTGAGGTTCATTTGCTACGTCACCTGCGACATGATAATGTATGTATTTATTGGTGACCTCACGCAGTCAAGAGGAGAAAGAAGAGTGTAGTTTGGCCATAACGGGTCACCTGTCGCTGCGGTCGTAGACCGTAGCGTCAGATAGGGCCCGTTCGCGCTCCCTTGTAGGGAGGCAATATGTCTGTATTGTAGTGGGTTCTATATACAGAGGGAAGGCGGGAGGGACAAAATCAAGACTTGACTGCGTGAGAGATGACGCGCTACCCGCAGAGGCAAGCAACTGACTCTCGTGAGGCAGTTGTAGGAGGAAGAGGCTCTCAGTAATGTCGGTGTAGATATCACGTGAGGCTACGGGCATTGTGAGGCAACCCCAATAAAACTACTCCCTTTATTGGTGACCTCACGCAGTCAAGAGGAGAAAGAAGAGTGTAGTTTGGCCATAACGGGTCACCTGTCGCTGCGGTCGTAGACCGTAGCGTCAGATAGGGCCCAAATGACCCGGCCAAACTAGGATGGTGGAGGGGACGGTGGTGGAAGCAGCAGAGACAGCGGGGCCGGCGAGCCTGTCTGGAACTGGTGATTGAGCTTGTACAAAACTGACGCATTTGTCGTAAAATACACCCTGAAAGCCTCTGAGGTCCATCTCCCTAGCATCTGAATCTGGTCGTCGAGTATCCCACTATCGTGCGCATGCTGAGCTGCGCCCTTCCGAAAACTGTGACCCGAGTAGCCCTCTGTCCGTAGTCCAAGCACTCTTAGCTTAGTAGATAAGGTCGAAAGGAAGTTGTTGCGACTGAATGGTCTTCTGTGGAAGGAGAACAATGGGGCGTCGGGCCCTCTGGGGTCGAGAAGTAGCAGCTTCTGAAGGGCATCAACTGGGCACGCGCCGTCTCCCGTCTTTGCAAGAATAATTTGCACCCCTTCGTGGCGGCGGTCTGTCTTACTGCGCTTGAGTGTGAGTTGTGCGTGGTCTAACGAGGACGAGAATCTGACGTCGGAGCGCGTTAACTTTGTGGCTGAGAAGATAGAATGTGTGCTAAGGTCGCCAGTCTTGTAGGTGAATTCTCCGAGGCGAAGGAATCCAGCAAATGCTACCCGGCACGCGGTTGCAAAGTTCAAGTCGTCTAGAAGGTTCGCAGACATCTCCAAGGGCCGTGGCGGGAGTGCGGCGAGGCCCGCAGATAGTTTCGTAATAGTGTCACGCGAAATAGGTTTTCTGACCCGAGCTTTTGCGACGGGGTTAAGTCTTCTCGCGCCGTCTATAAGACGTCGAAAATGCTTGTTATCGAAGAGTTTATCGTCAAGAAAATTATCGATATGGTAGGCTCGGAGAGCGGTTAGGTCGGCGAGTGCGGTGTCAGGCTTGACGGCCTTTTGGCTGGCGTTACCAAGGAGTCGTGAGCTTAGCTATGAGGTTAATGACTGTCTTGAAACTGGCCATGCGGATAAATTTTGTAGCACGCAGTGCTTTTCGTAGTTGCGCTGAACAGAGAGGTAAACGGAACGTGTGTTGGCGCCGAGTCCGTTCCAGAGCAGTTTTAGGTGGCCGGCATTGAGCTGAGGAGCTCGTGAAGAGAACCACGCGGGCGGTTCAATACCGAGAGGTCCTGCCAATGGGGACAAATGTTAGCAATGTCTTCAAGATTATTACGTGAGAGCGCGTCTGCTAATGTATTTTTCCCGGAGGGGAGCTAGTGTGGCACGATGTGGATGTCTCTCGCCGCCGCTAGGATAAGCAGGCTCTTCAGAGGTGCGTTAGGCGGACCATGAAGAAAGCCTTTCTTTAGTCCCGAGTGCGCTGTGGAGCTATCCGTGTGGATAACGAGAGTATGATGGAGCTAATAGTGGCTGAAGAGTAGGAAGCCTTGTAGAATAGCGTCTACTTCGTTGGTATTGATGTGCGCATGTGCGTCTTGAGTAAGGGCCAATGTGGCAGCATTGCTTGGGTGAAGCTGGTGACAATGGGCCAGCCAGCAGTCTAATATAGACTTGGATGAGAAGAAGAAGAGCCCCTGGCCTATACTGGAGGCATCTGTGTAGAGATGCGTGATGGGGCGGCGGCAAGGGTCAATTAAGAGTACGCCGTTGAAGAGAGACAAGGAGTCCCTCCACCATTCCAAATCGTCACGTACCTCGTAAGGGATACGGCGGCGCGCACTACTCCCATGTGAAAAAGCGGCTTGGAAGGTGTATAGAGATTGTAACCTTGTTCTTCCAAGTCGGACAACTCTTGAACAGAAGGCTAATAAGCCTGTGAGGCGCTCTGCTTGCTTGAGGGAGAGACTCGCTACGTTTAGGGCAGCTGCGGCGTCCAATGTGGCGCGGCATAACTTTTCTGGCGGCAGACGAGCTTCTATTGCAATAGAGTCGATCTGGATACCTAGGACTGTAACACAGGTCCCTTACTGGTCCTTTTTTGTATTGCGAGGAATACGTAGATAGTCGGTGACTCTGTTGTAAACCCTATCAAAAAGGCCCGTGGGGTCGGACGCTGAGGGAGACTGAGTAATTGCGATGAAATCGTCTAGGTAATGACTGATATGGAATGCAGGGAGGAGGCATTGGAGTATCCAATGGAGTGCCTCGGCGAAGAGGTTGAAGAGAAACGGGGCCGTTACGAGGCCAAAGGGGAGGCAGCATTCGACATAAGTGGAATCGGTCCACTGGAAGGCAAGGAGATGCTGGTTATCCTCGGCAACAGGGACAATTCGGAAGGCGTCCTTGATGTCCCTTTTGATGATTGTGCAACCGGGGCCAGCTTGTATGACTTGCTCGTAGATCTTATCGATTGTCATATATTCAATAGCTGACCAGGAGTCCGGTATGCCCTGGTTAAGGCCTTGTCTAGGGGGCCAAGATAGATCATGGATGCGGCGCCACCCCCCGTCGTGCTTAGGGACTAACCCAAGCGGTGAAACGAAGGAGGGCCTAGAGGCTAGTCTAACACGACCGAGGCTGAGATCCTCTGCTATTTTGGCCGTGATCATGCCGGGTTCATGTATGTGATGGTTAGAGGAATAGCGAAACTGCTTCTTACCCCTATAGCCGACCTGAACACCGTAGGTCAGAATGCCAGCGATAGTGGACCCGAGATCGCCCGGATAGTAGCGTAGAAGATTGCTCCAGCCTTTCGCATGCAGTGGCGACGGAGAGGACTGTAGCCTTGGGAGCTCTGGGTTGAAAACGGGGTATTGAACAGCAGTGTTTGGTCTAGGTGGTTGCCCCTGTGGTATGAGGCTTAGGGATAGGGGATTGGGAACAACGTTGTCGGTGTCACTAGTGCAGTTCTCAAGGGCTGTCACTTGCTATTTCTTCTTGCGGCAGGAGGAGGCGCCATGCTCGCTTAGGCCGCACGCCGTGCACTCATGACGCCTCTTGCAGCCTTCCCAGGAGCACCCTGTCGTATTGAACTTATCGCAAACTTTTGTCTCATTATTCGAAGATCTGGTATTCCTAGCTTGACGAGGCCGAGTTGGAGGGTTTGTTGGTGACTTCGCAGACAGGGTGAGATTGTGCCGAAGGTATTTTTCGCGAAATGGGCCTGTGACTAGGTAGTTGTCCGTCGATAACTCTCCTTTATCCATTATGTATTAGTGGAAATTAAGGGCAAGTGGGAGGACTGCTTCCGACCACTGATAAGTCTGAGCGAAGTCCAGGATCTGCCTTATAAACATGAGTAGATTGGGAACTGCTTTAGGATGTTTTTCGCCGAAGAGATATCCTACAACAGCCAGATAGGCAAGAAAGCAGGTTGTCCATATTTGAGGGTTGGGGCCCCAGTCCTTAAGCGACGCTGCTGCCTTCTTGAAGCCTACTGTACCTCCCAACTCGGTCATCTTGAAGACTCTGTCCTCCTGATCTACCTCGGTGACTGACTTCTCTTTGAAGCGTATGAGTTCAGTCGCCTTCAACTTCTTCTCAAAGACGCGAGTAAGAAGGGCGGCGGAGACACCCGGAAATATGTCGATAAGTGGTTTGACTTCGGGGAGTGGCTCACGGTTTTCCTCGAGATTATCGTCATCTTGCAGGTCCACACGAGGCCTTCTGCGGCGGAGGTCGGTCTCCGCTACATCCAATTCAAGGCGCCTAGCCCTGTCTCTCTGTATCTGTCCTAACCAGCTGGCACGGTCTGCCGCACCCATGGTTTCCCAAATGTGGGCCGGCGGCCAAGCGGAGTCGAGCGGGGCAGGAGTGGCACTGCTAGACTGGCTGAACGTCATGGTGGAGAGCGATATAGTCAAGGCCTATCGGTGCTGTTGCCGTGGAGAAGGACGTGAAACAAAATCAAGACTTGACTGCGTGAGAGATGACGCGCTACCCGCAGAGGCAAGCAACTGACTCTCGTGAGGCAGTTGTAGGAGGAAGAGGCTCTCAGTAATGTCGGTGTAGATATCACGTGAGGCTACGGGCATTGTGAGGCAACCCCAATAAAACTACTCCCTATATGTGTGATATGCATAGTTGACATTGGGACTGTTGACTAACCTCAACTAGTTAATCAACATGACGGACATCTTTATCTCTCCATCCGAGGATCTGTATGAACACCACTATGTCAAAGCTGACAGACATGCTGATTATTTGTATTACAGTTATATTGTGACAGACTGTATGATGACAGATCTTCATCGCCTTTTGCAAGCGTCGTCAAAGCCTTTGGAGCGTCAATTTATTCAGTTCTTTACCTATCAAATGCTGGTATGTCCACTCGAATGATTACCAGACACGTGGTATATCTAATCGAAACAGCGTGGATTAAAATACATTCATTCGGCCGGAGTGATTCACCGCGACCTCAAGCCAAGCAACATTTTGATCAACGACAACTGCGACCTGAAGATTTGTGACTTTGGTTTGGCCCGAGAACAAGACGCCCAAATGACCGGCTACGTCGCCACACGATACTACCGTGCGCCGGAGATCATGCTGACCTGGCAGAATTACAACTACGCCGTGGATATGTGGAGCGTTGGGTGTATTCTGGCAGAGATGATTCTAGGGAAAGTTCTCTTTCCTGGGAAAGACCATGTGCATCAGTTCATCCTAATTACCGAGCTTCTGGGGAAGCCGTCTGCGGAGGTTATGAAGAGAGTCTACAGCAAGAGTGTATGATTGAGATATGCAACTTAAAGCCAGATTAATGAGTACTAATGACGATTTATAGACGTTGAAATTCGTGGACTCGCTACCAGAGAAAGAGTCCTGGGGGCTTACATCTTTCCTTGGAGATGCGGACCGTCAAGGTAAGCCCTATCGCCTTTGATCATTTTCAATACATCTCCTCTTGTCCTAAGTATACTCACTTTTTATAGCAACTGATCTCGTAGAGAAAATGCTTAACATCGATCCACATGGGAGACTCACCACGGCGGATGCTATTAAGCATCCATATGTCGTGACCTACCAGGACCCTGACGACGAGCCTGTCTGTAATAGTCAGCTTGATTGGTCTTTGTTGGATTCAGAGCTTTCAGCTGACGAGTGGAAGAGCACAATGTATGTCCCCTGATCTGGTTACATGTTGAGTTGATCTAACAATCAAAAGGTATTTCGAAGTTCTGAACTATCATCGTGGTGCCTGCGACTGGCAAAATGATGATCCAGCCAATGGAAAGTTTGAGGATCTTCTGTTGACCGAAGAGATGAGTGGGACATACTAGAGTCTTTTTTTTTTCGGAATGTTTCTGGTCAGTAATTTCACAAGCTTGCTAGGTTGGGCTTGTTGGACAGGATACATAGGGAAGGTTGGAGATCGTTGGCGTGTATAGCGTAGTAAGAAAAATCGACTTTTTCATTCATCATGTCAATAAGATCAATGAGTGTCATAGAAATCAAAACATCTGCCTGGTCCACGCCCACGCCCACTTCCTTGTTTCTGATACCTCGTCATCATCGTCAGCCATTCAAATTAACTCAAGACTGCTCCAACCAACTCCAGATTTCTGCCTTGCTCTTGGATCTCTGCCCGGGGCTTACGTAGAAGCAAAGGGTCTGCTTTTGGTAGCAATGTGAGCACTGCGGTCGAGCGTGGTCGCAGAGGGCATTCAGCTCGCGACATACTTTGCAGTCTAACGAGTTACTCTTAAGGGGCTGCATATAAAGCTGCGGATGGACCGTACGCGAGTGGGAAAGGGATTCCGGCGACGGGGATATGTCATGTGGGGTTGCCGACCGCCGTAGGGGAATACGGCCAGGCGCTTCCCGTGAGGTCGTGACCCCCTCGACCGACCGGTTAGGGACGGTCGCGCCGGCTTTGGCTGGGATATCCGTGTGAGTAGTGCACCGTCGCGAGTCTATTTTGGATTGGGAGTGCTTTCTTATGTCTGTCAGGTTTCCTGGAATCTTAGAATGGGCTTCTTTCGACTTACCGTGACGCCCAACAGACCATGTTTCAAGGAAAACGCAGAAGGGTGTAATCAGAATGTTGTGCCGTTGGCAAATCACATAGCCCAAGCGGCACGGCTACCGTACAAGTGGTCGAATTGGCGGGTATACTATATCCCGGCAATGGACGGCGGGAAAGATGCGAGGATTTTGTGGCTTTCGACCCGCAAAATTGGGAAATTTGGGTCATTGCTCCCTACCTCAGATGAAATTCGTTCGCGAACCTTGGACAGTTTGAACGCGCAATGCGATGAAAATGGGCTAGATCGCTGTGTCTGGATCAGACGCTCGACAGGTTCCGCTACCCTGGTATCATGCAGTTGGACGATGCAGTTGTAGATCAGCTGCGTGACATTGTGGTCTTGAATTTTGCAAACTCGCTAGATCACTCGACTCCCTAGTGTATGTATCAGGGGAATTTCGAAATGGGGTAAAGTGAGACCCACTTCCGCATCCTTTTGCTTTTACGGGATGCGTTTAGAAGCGTATCGAGTCTGCTGGGAGGCTCTACCGAAGGTAGGAGAGGTGAGGCAAACATCGTGTGGCGGGTTAGGACGGTCAAAGTCGTACTAGACTTCTCTGAGCCGACCGCTGTTGAAGGGTCCTTTCTACGAGCTAGTTGCTGGTGAGACGCTATACAGCGAACCGGCTGTGTGAAGGGCTACAGCTGAATTGATTCAATTAGGCGGTGCCTGCATGCTGTTTATCTAAATCTTAGAGAACCGTAAACAAAGGAGCGGTCAACTGCTGTATAGTGTTCCCTAGGGCGGTCAGGCTACCCGTTCGGCAGTATCGGGTGCGGTGTCTGCACGGGCAAAGCCCGAGCCTCAACGTGGCCCTGGCCCGTTACAATACCCCCCTCCTTAGGTTCGGACCTGTAAAGGGTCACGCGGGAGCTCCGGCCGCTGGCAGGGGATCATCCGTGGCCGAAACGGCCCCGAAACGCTCCTCAAATCTGTCTAGGGCACTACAGTCATCTATAGATGCTAGTGGTTCCCATGTGCATTGCGAGTAGCCAGTCCACCGAACTAGCACCTCTCTCCTAGAGCCTCGACCCACTCTCTTAGTACGGGCCGCTAGGATTTCTTCCACATCGTATTCCAGTTCCCTATCGATCTCCAGGGGTGGTGGCTGCGAATCGTCCACGATTTGCGAGGGAAGCGGGTCATCGGCTGCGGGCCGAATTAGGTCGACGTGGAAAACTGGGTGAATTCCGGTCGGAACGCCCAACCGCACTGTATAGGAGGATGGCACTTCTAGCACTGTGTAGCGGGCATGAAGCCAGTCTAGCTTCTTGTACGGCCGTATCGATCTCACGTTCCGTAGGTTTAACCATACTTTGTCGCCTGTTTTATACACTGGTGTAGCTTGGCGGGTTCTGTTCGCTTGAAGCTACTGCTGATTTTGTGTAAACGCTATCGACGCTTGTGCCCACTCGGTAGCGGATCGGAGTCGATTCGCTAGCGCTTCGCCTGCCTCCCCGGGTCCCGATAATCCCTCTTGGATTTCTTTACTCCCTGTCTGTATCGGATCGATATGGTATCCATGTGTAAAGAAGAATAGAGATATTCCAGTTAACGCTGCCTTCCGATTATTGATCGCTACTACTACTATTGGTAGCAGCTTTATCTAATCCTCTTGTGTGTAGCAAGTAAATGCTCGTAGGATCTTTTTAACCTCTTGATTCGCTCTCTTAGTTGAGCCATCTGACTGCGGGTGGAAGGCGGTAGATAATCGGCGGCGAATCTATAGCCTTTCGCACACCCTTTTCTAGAAGTCGCTCACAAATTGGGTTCCCCTATCGCTTGTGATAGTAGTTGGTAAACCGTGGTGCATATAGATATGCACTAAAAAGGCCTTAGCTAACGCGTTAGCGGTGATTAAGTCCATACCGATAAGTATCACGCTTTTCGTTAGCCTATCGGTAACGACTAGGCAGTTGGTCGCTTTTCTCTCTCCTGCAGCTGGGAAACCGGTAATAAAATCCATTGATATCTCTGCCTAGATGCGCTGGGGAATCGGCAGGGGTTTTAATAGGCCGTGTTTTGTCTCCCTCCAGATTGTGCTTCTTCCGTAAACGCCATAGTTCCGTAGAAATTGTCGTACATCCGCTGCTGCTCTGGGCTAGAACCATTGTCGAGACAGTATCGAATAGGTAGCGTCTCGTCCTGGGTGGCCGCTCAAATAAGAATCGTGCACTTACTGGAGGATTCTTGTTCTTAGAGGCTTAGAGTTAGGAACCTATAAACGACCACGAAACCGTAGTAGTCGACGCTCGTCTAGCTCGCATTCTGCTAGGCTCACTTTCGTGTCTATATTGGCTAGTATTCGGCGATGTTCTTTCAATATCGCGGTAGAGAAGGCTCGATAGGTTGCGTCAGTCTTTCGGGCAGTTTCCCATAATTGTTGCATCTCTAGGTCCTCGAATATTCGTACGGGCGCTTCGAAGTCTATTTCCTCTTCATCTTCTTTAGGCTCTCTCTGTGGTCTACCAGTCCGGACCGTAACGTCGGCGAATAGGGCCCGAAACCTATGTGAAACGCGCTCGTCGTTGGCGTCCTGCGGCATATCTTGTTCTCTTCGCGATAATGCGTCTGGTCTCACTGCTTGTTTCCCTGGCCGATATTATAGGTCGAAGTCGAACTCCGCTAGCATATCTGACCATCGCATCTGCCGTTCGGATAGCTGCCTTAACTTATAGAAGTATCGTAGGTTCTTATGGTCCGTTACGATAGCGAATCGTGGGACTATCTTTAGCTCTAGGCGCTATTCCTTTAGGGCTCGTATAATAGCTAGGAGTTCCTTATCGTGGATTTCGTAGTTTACCTCTGCCGGGGATAGCTTCTGTAAGAGGTATGTATAAGGTGCTACGACGCTATCATCCTACACTTAAGATAATACTGCGCCTATAGCCTAGCCGGATGCATCCGTTTCGACTATTGTTTCTCGTTCCTCTTCGAAATGCACTAGAATCGGTGCCGAAACGAAGAGATTCTTTAGTTCTTCGAAACTCCGTCTGTAGTTGTCGTCCTATTTAAAAGCTTCGTCTTTCTTGGTTAACCTCGTAAGCGGCGTAGTAAGCTCCGCGAATCGGGGTATAAACGGTCGGTAGAAGTTAGCGAATCCTAGAAAGCTTCGGATATCTTTCATAGTCTTAGGCGCCTTCTATGACTTAATCGCTTCGACCTTCTTAGGGTCGACACATAGACCCTCGCCTGCTTTCACAATATAACCTAGGTATTTTATAGCGTGTTGTTCGAATTCTGACTTCTTGATGTCGTATTAGAGCCTAGCCTCTTATAGTTTCGATAAGACTTCGTTCACCTTTCGGCGGTGATCCGCTATCGAACCGTTGGAGTAGATGATAATATTATCTACATACGCTAAGACAAAGTCGTCTAGGTACTCTCGTAGCATATGATTGATATGTCGTTGAAAGGTGGCTAGGGCGCCTGTTAAGCCGAATGGCATAACGTTCCACTCGTACAGGCCGTATCGCGTACGAAACGCGGTCTTATATTCATCGCCTGGTTATACCCGAATCTTATAGAACGTAGCTATCACGTCTAGCTTCGTGAACTACCGTGCCCTCGATATATTCCGTAGCGTCTCACGAATTAGTGGTAATAGGTATCGGTCTTTAACCGTCAGTTCGTTTAGGCCTCGGTAGTCGATATAGAATCGAATGCCGCCTCCTGGCTTTCGTACCAGAAGCACT